AAAAAAAAAAAAAAAAAGTGACACAAAAGGTCACATATGGTGTGATTCCATTTATAAGAAATGTCCCAGATAGGTAAATCCAGAGAGACAGAAAGCAGACTGGTGGTTGCCAGGGGTGAGGGTAGAGGGGAAGGGAAGGAACGGCTAAGTGGGCATGCGGTGGTTGGGGGCTGTGCGGCCAGCTGACTGGGGGTAAAAAGCAATTCTGGAAGATGATTGAGCTACTCTTCCTTCAACTTGAGAGAGAAAGTAAGAGAAAGAAGGAGAGGAGGGAAAAGACAGGGAGGGGAGAGGGGACGAGAGCAGAAGGGGATGGAAGACAGAGGGAGAGAGGGAGAGGGGGAGGAGGGAGAGAGGGAGAGAGAGAGAGAGGGTGAGAGAGAGAGAGACAGAGAGACAGAAAGAGAGAGACAGAAAGAGAGAGAGAGAGAAGAGAGAGGAAAGAGAGAGAGAGAGCGCGATGGTTGCCCAATAAGAAGTTAATGAACACAGCAGGCATTGCTCATCTTGATGGAATACAAACAACAAAACAGTCCACTGCCTGGGCTGCCCTTACTTGAGCACACTCCTGGTGTAGTCGATCCTCATGCCTGGGACACTGAACCTCATGATTTCCTGGGGCTGAAAGCCCAGGAACTCCAGGCAGCAGTGCCTGGGCTACAGAGCTGGGTGTGGTTCGAGGGCAGGATGATCACCTCATCACAGTCCCAAGAGATTGCAGATCTGGTCTCCACTCCTGAGTGTCAACTGGCACAACCACAGTTCATTATCTGGAAGAGTCAGAGCTGATGAGCTGGCAGGGGGCCTCTGAGAGCTCCCAACCCTATCCACAGTGCTATAATCCTCCCTCCTCTCTTCTCCCTCCACTCACCACACCCATTCTCACCTGCAGTCCCTTCTGAGTCTGAGCCCAGGAGTTCAAAAATAAAGATCGGCTGAGAGCAGAAGGAGAATGACAGTGATTCTGGGGTCACCAGATGATGACCATAGAGCACAAGATGCTGTCTCTGAGTTTCTTTGGTCGCTGTAACAACTGACAGTGGAATTTGGGACTGACTCTGTGTGCAGGTTCTGGGGACTGGGCTTGGCAGGTGAGGAAATGCAGGGAGGGCTCTGGGAAGGGTTAAGCTTCTGGAATTTATAGGTGGGGACACAGATTGCAGTGCAGTCAGAGAGGACATGAGTGATTATGAGGTGGGAAACCAAGAATTAAATAGGGAAAAGAGAATTAAGTATGAGGTTCAGAGGTACATTAGAGACAACAGTAGGCATTAGCTCAACCTGCGGCTAGCGTTGCCTTACCGAAGATTCTGGGTACCATGGAGCTTCAGAGCAGCTGATGGGACAGCAGCAGTGGAAATGGGTTAGTGACTTTACACAAGGACTTATGTAGGCTATGAACTTACCCACATTTAGGGAGGTGGGAGGAAGCAGTGTCCTCTTGGAAAGGGTGGGGTATGAAGTCGCAGAAAGCATAAGGAAAAAAATGCATCAACAGCTTAGTAAGATGTTCCTGGATCTGTTCCAAGTGGCTGCTACCTTCTCAGACCTCTCGAAACCTCAGGATAAAGTCTTCCCTAGAACCTTTCAAAGCTGTGAGTCAGTGTCATTCTTTGAACTCTGCCCATGCAAAGCCACTTGGAAGAGATTCCTTGGCTCTTACTTATCTGACAGCATACTACTCACCAAACACCAGCTGTCTCTAAGCTCCCCATATTCATCCACCCTGAAGTTTCAAAGCGGTCCCTCTATCCCCATCTCAGTCCACCTCCAGACCTGCACTGTGAGAAACAAACTCACCCGTCCAAGCCCAAAGAATGGACTCAGAGACACAGAAAACAGTGGAAGCAAGACTTTTAATGACGGTCTTGCAAAATTGAGTGTCTGGTAGGCAGGCACACCTTGTACAGTTACAATAAGCAATTTATCCCCTAGTGCACAAGTCTCTCCCCCGGTTCCTCGTAGGCTGAGTATGATGGGGTCACAATCTTCCCAGACGTCGCCTATGGGTTGCTGGGTTGAGGCTTTTAGGTGTTTTCTTTAGGATTGTCTCACTGTATTTTGTTGCAGCCTATAATGCATTGCAATCAAAGTCAGCTCAGGGGCTTTTCAAGTGTTTGACTTATGACCTAGGTAGTCAGGCAAGCTGATAAGAATAGATAAAGTGAACTATTTTGCTGGCTAGTAAACTTTCATTCTAGGCTAAACTCTGGTTCAGGCGAGGGTAACTAAGGGGGCCCCGACAAGCATGCACCAGCTATTAAAGCACGGGCCTAGTATATTCTGTCCTTCCATAGTTTGTGGGCCTCAGCCTGTTTGAAGTACTTTGTCTTGGAAATGGATCACCATATCCATTATTATAATTGTAGACAGCACTGTCTATAATTCTTCAGAGTCATTTAGGGGAAACTGTGAAGATGCAGCATAATCTAGAAAAAGAGCAGGGGCTGTAAAAACTCTGCCAGGGAGAACAAAAAAGGAACAGTGATAGAACAGACATCTGGGATTCATAGAATAGACGGAAAGGCAGCACCTTTTTGTTGTTGTTTCTGGAGTGCTTTGTCCAAGGAAACGCTCCTTCTGTGTTTCTTACCGTTATTTTATTGTCACCATCACTCTTATTTGTGTGATGGGATACCATGTGGGCTATTATTATAATGTGCTCCTGTGTTTTCCATTGACTTCCTTCCCATACCACAGTGAGATGGGTGGGAGGGTGAGACAGAGATCAGGAGAGGTGTTAGGGCTTTATAAAAGTGCACTGTTAGTAGAAGAGTCTCTTCCCCCTCTCTCCCTTTTAA